CTGATTCTGGAAATTCTTTAAATCAGGTTTAATTTGCTGATATTAGGTCTTAATTTGATGTTAGGCTTTAAGGTTACTTTTATATATGGGGTTTTCTGGGACTTTATGTTAGTTGTTGTTGTTCATTCGTTCAGTCGTCTCCGACTCTTCGTGACCTCACGGACCAGCCCACACCAGAGCTCCCTGTCGGCCGTCACCACCCCCAGCTCCAGTCCCTTCAAGGATGCCATCCATCCATCTTGCCCTTGGTCGGCCCCTCTTCCTTTTGCCTTCCACTTTCCCCAGCATCATTGTCTTCTCTAGGCTTTGCTGTCTCCTCATGATGTGGCCAAAGGACTTCCACTTTGTCTCTAGTCTACTTCCCTCCAGTGAGCAGCCGGGCTTTATTTCCTGGAGGATGGACTGGTTGGATCTTCTCGCAGTCCAAGGCACTCTCAGAACTTTCCTCCAACACCACAGCTCAAAAGCATCTCCTTCCTTCGCTCAGCCTTCCCTAAGGTCCAACTCTCACATCCGTAGGTGACTACAGGGAAGACCATGGCTTGGACTAGGCAATGGATCTTTGTTGCCAGTCTGATGTCTCTACTCTTTACTATTTTATCGAGACTGGACATTGCTCTCCTCCCAAGAAGTAAGCGTCTCCTGATTTCCTGGCTGCAGTCTGTGTCTGCAGTAATCTTTGCACCTAGAAATACAAAGTCTGTCACTGCCTCCACGTTTTCTCCCTCTATTTCCCAGTTGTCAATCATTCTTGTTGCCATAATCTTGGTTTTTTGATGTTTAACTGCAACCCGGCTTTTGCGCTTTCTTCTTTCACCTTGATTAGAAGGCTCCTCAGCTCCTCCTCGCTTTCGGCCATCAGGTGTCATCTGCATATCTGAGGTTGTTAATGTTTCTTCCAGCAATTTTCACCCCAGCCTTGCATTCATCAAGCCCCGCACATCGCATGATGTGTTCTGCATACAAGTTAAAAAGGTTGGGTGAGAGTATGCAGCCTTGCCGTACGCCTTTCCCAATCTTGAACCAGTCTGTTGTTCCGTGGTCAGTTCTGACTGTTGCTACTTGGTCCTTGTACAGAATCCTCAGGAGAGAGACAAGGTGGCTTGGGATGCCCATCCCACCAAGAACTTGCCACAATTTATTATGATCCACACAGTCAAAGGCTTTAGAATAGTCAATGAAGCAGAAGTAGATGTTTTTCTGAAACTCCCTGCCTTTCTCCATTATCCAGCAGATATTGGCAATCTGGTCTCTTGTTCCTCTGCCTTTTCTAAACCCAGCTTGAACATCTGGCAACTCTCGCTCCATGTATGTTACTGTTTATGTTAGTATCATGTGTTATATCTATCTATATCTATGGCTGGATGGCTCTTTGTCAGGAGGGCTTTGATTATGTTTTCTTGCCCTGGTTAAGGGAGTTGGACTGGATGGTCTTACGTATTTTCTGTTGGTCATGGGGGTTCTGTGTGGGAAGTTTGCCCCAATTCTGTCGTTCGTGGGCTTCAGAATGCTCTGATTGTTGGTGAACTATAAATCTAAGTAACTACAACTCCCAAATGTCAAGGTCTATTTCCCCCAAACTCCCATCTGTGTTCGTATTTGGGCATTTTGAGTATCAGTGCCAAGTTTGGTCCAGATCCATCATTGTTTGAGTCCACAGTGCTCTCTGAATGTTGATGAACTACAACTCCCAAACTCAAGGTCAATGCCCACCAAATCTTTCTAGTGCTTTCTGTTGGTCATGGGAGTTCTGTGTGCCACGTTTGGTTCAATTCCATCGTTGGTGGAGTTCAGAATGCTTTTTGATTGTAAGTAAACTATAAATCCCAGCAACTACAACTCCCAAATGACAAAATCAATTTTTAAAGTGATGGTCACTCCTTGGGTTAGTAGGTGTCTTATGGACAAGTTTGGCGGCAATTCGTCCAGTGGTTCTTGAGTTATGTTAATCCCACAAATGAACATTACATTTTTATGTATATAGATTATTATAAATCCATAATAATAATAATAATAATAATAATAATAATAATAATAATAATGTAGCTAGATAGGGAGTATAATTATTTCTAGATTGAAAGTATTATCTAATATTATTAGTATTAGATTTTCCCCAAGTTCTGGGCTTGAGTCTGGCTTTGCTCTATTTCAATCCATAATAATAATAATAATAATAATAATAATAATAATAATAATAATAATAATAGACAGGGAGTATTATTATTATTATTATTATTATTATTATTTCTACATTGGAAGTATTATCTAGTACTATTAGTATTAGATTTTTCCCAAGTTCTGGGCTTGAGTCTGGTCTGAGTCTCTTTAAATCCAGAAATAATAATAATAATAATAATAATAATAATAATAATAGACGTGTGATCCAGCATAGTGATCTTGTTTGCTGTGTACTAATCTTGTTGTGTTTCAAATAATAATAGATGGATTATTATTATTATTATTATTATTATTATTATTATTTCTACATTGGAAGTATTATCTAGTACCATTAGTATTAGATTTTTCCCAAGTTCTGGGCTTGAGTCTGGTCTGAGTCTCTTTAAATCCAGAAATAATAATAACAATATAGCTAGACAATAATAATAATAATAATAATAATAATAATACATTGGATGCATTATCTAGTACTGTTAGTATTAGATTTTTCTCAACTTCTGGGCTTGAGTCTGGCTTGGTTCTCTTTAAATCCAGAAATAATAACAACAATATACCTAGTCAGGGATTATTATTATTATTATTATTATTATTATTATTATTATTATTTCTACATTGTAAGCATTATCTAGTACTGTTAGTATTAGATTTTTCTCAATTTCTGGGCTTGAGTCCGGCTTGGGTCTCTTTAAATCCAGAAATAATAATAATGTAGCTAGACAGGGAATATTATTGTTATTTCTAGATTGAAAGTTTTATGCAGTACTATTAGTATTAGATTTTTCCCAAGTTCTAGGCTTTAGTCTGCTTTACTTTGTATAAATCAATAATAATAATAATAACAATAACAACAACAACAACAACAATAATGTAGTTAGAGATTATTATTATTATTTCTGGATTTAGTGTTATCTAGTACTATTAATATTTTCCCCAAACACTGGGCTTGAATCTGGCTATATTTTCTTTAAATCCAGAAATAAAAATGATGATGATCATGATGATGTAGCTTGACAGGGAAAATTGTTGTTGTTGTTGTTATATTATTATTATTATTATTATTATTATTATTATTATTATTATTATTATTTCTGGATTTAAAGAGAGACTAGCCTGACTCAAGCCAAGAGCCTGGGAGTAATCTAAAATTATACTATTACGATTAATGATGACAACAACAACAATTGAAATACTGTTTAAAAGTTATTGGATAAACCAGAAAGGAATGGGAGATAGACAAATGGCTGGAAATCTACATCTTAATGTTGATTTCCTATCCTGATAATCCACAAATCTTGGGATTAGTTTTTTCCCCTTTTTGGACTGGGGTTTGTCCAAATCAATTAGTCCTTGCTTCTTTTCATAGAAGGAGAGATGAATTGCTATTATCATTATTACTATTACTATTACCATTATTATTATTATTATTATTATTATTATTATTATTATTATTGGTTCAGCATTCATCGAGGTGGAACAGAAGTTCTTATTCGGACCAGGGACCGCAGAGAAGCTGGCAGCGTTGGGGGCCACCCTGCAAAGTGACCACTCCTTCCGGGACCAGTATTACGATGCCTTGGACTTCAAGCTGACCCTTGCTGACCACTGGCTTCGATATAGGGAGGGGGCCGGATGGGAGCTGAAATGCCCCCCGAAGCCACGAGAGGGCAATGGGGTTCCAGATGGGATTCACAAGAGCCCAGCTGGACCAAAAGCTCCAGGTGACAACCAGCCATTGCAAGCACTTGAAAGCCTGGGCCAGACACATGGTGCAGTTCAATACCTGGAGGTCACTTGCCTGCAAGAGATTGTGGCCCGTGTCTGTGGACTCCTTGGCATCGACCCGGCTACGGTTGGACACGAAAACATGGCCCAAGCAGTAGAGGCTCTTGGCTTGAAGGAGTTTGCCAGCTTCGTCACCCGCCGGTGCCAATACCGCCTAGGTGACCTGAATGTGGACCTGGACCAGGCGGATTTTGGCTACGCCGTTGGAGAGGTAGAAGCCCTGGTCAAGCAGCAGGAAGACATCCCCGCAGCTCTGGAGAGCATCCGGAAGCTGGGAAATCAGCTGGGTGAGTGTGCATCTACACTAAGGGTGGCAAACTCATTTTCATTGAGGGCCACTTCATGGTTGCCTTCTTAAATCCATGGACGGAAGGCCGACTATAATTTGTATACATGGTGGTTGGTAATGTTTACTTTTTGCCCAGTTTGAAGCCCCAGATACCATTGAACAACCACCATCACCTGTAATTATCTGCCGTGCGGACTGGGGATGATGGGAATTGCAACCCAACACCTCTTGGTTGTGGATCAGAGGTTGGGGAAAGGCTAAAAGGGCATTTTAAAGCCTTGCATCTGAATCCAAACCTCACTTTCCTGACTCAACAGGGAACTTCAAGCATGGGCCAACTTGGGCCCTCCAGGTGTTTTGGACTTCAACTCCCACCATTCCTAACAGCCTCAGCCCCCTTCCTTTCCCCCCTCAGCCATTTAAGCTTCTCACACCAGGCTTACACCAAAGCCTACCTCACACTGAGGCCTTTTACCCACTGAGGTCTTCTCACACTGAGGGTTTTCTCACACTGTTGACCCATGCTTAGTATCATAGAATCAAAGAGTTGGAAGAGACCTCATGGGCCATCCAGTCCAACCCCCTGCCAAGAAGCAGGAATATTGCATTCAAATCACCCCCGATAGATGACCATCCAGCCTCTGTTTAAAAGCTTCCAAAGAAGGAGCCTCCACCACACTCCGGGGCTTGCTTTAAAGGATGCACACAATTACAATTCTCCCTTCTTTTTTCTCTCTTCCTGGCAGGATTTGATGAGAAAACACGAATCCCTGGCAAGATGTCTGCCTACCTGCATCGATTCAGACCAACGCACTACGAAGCCTTGATACAATTTGGAAGGCTCAGGAAGATGGGAGACGGAGTACATGAGCCAAAGGAAAAGAATGTATAGTAGGGTGAGAAGGGATGCTCCTAAGGAAAGGACCCTCCATCTAGGCTTTATGTACTAGTGATATCCTCAAATAGGAGAAATTAATGTGAATAGAATAGTAAAGAAATATAGAAAATATAGAAAATTGTGGTGAAAGGTGGTTTTTTCCCCTCCTTCTGCAATCTGCACATCTGACTTTCCAAATCCTTGCAGCAAACAGAAATGATTTTCAACCTGCCATAGTGGAGGCTCCTTCTTGGGAGGCTTTTAAACAGAGGCTGGATGGCCATCTGTCAGGGGTGCTTTGAATGCGATTTTCCTGCTTCTTGGCAGAATGGGGTTGGACTGGATGGCCCATGAGGTCTCTTCCAACTCTAGGATTCTATCATTCTAAGGTAGGGCATGAAAGGATTTGGAGCAGGACTGGGCAAACGGGCCCTCTGGGTGTTTTGGACTTCTCCAGGTGTTTTGGACTGTCTCCTTTCTCTTCACAATAACAGACCAAAACCATAAGCATTTGGTGAGGTCACAGCCCAGTGTTCCTCAACCCTCCTAATGCCACAACCCCTTAATACAGTTCCTCCTGATGTGTTGACCCCCAAACATAACATTATTTTTGTTGCTAATTCATAACTGTCATTTTGCTACTGTTATGAATCATAATGTAAATATCTGAGATGCAGGATGTATTTTCATTCACCAAATTTGGCACAAATAACCGATACGCCCAAATTTGAATACTGGTAGGGTTGGAGTGGTCTTGATTTTGTCATTTGGGAGTTTTAGTTGCTGGGATTTATAGTTCACCTACAATCAAAAAGCAGTCTGAACTCCACCAATGATGGAATTGAACCAAACTTGGCACACAAAACTCCATGACCAACAGAAAATACTGGAAGGGTTTGGTGGGCATTGACCTTGAGTTTGGGAGATGTTGTTCACCTACATCCAGAGAGCACTGTGGACTCAAACAATGATGGATCTGGATCAAACTTGGCACAAATACTCAATATACCCAAATGGAGTTTGGGGGGGGGGGGGGGAGAGACCTTTACATTTGGGAGTTGTAGTTGCTGGGATTTATAGTTCACCTACAATCAAAGTGCTTTTTGAACCCCACCAATGATAGAATTGAGCCAATTTTCCCACATAGAAACCCCATGACCAACAGAAAATACTGTGTTTTCTGATGGTCTTTGGCAACCCCTTTGACAACCCCTCGCGACCCACCCCCCAGGGGTCCCGACCCCCAGGTTGAGAAACGCTAATCTAGCCCATAGTTGCAAGTAGGACCAGAACAGAAATAGTTTTGCACTAAGACATAAGAAGAGAAAACATTTATTCACACTCAGGTATCAAAGCTATCCAATAGGAGTTACAGCCAGCAAAATTAAAGAGACAGGAAACAGAAGAACAGCCCAAACAAACGACTGATCTGTGGAACACCTTGCCACAGTATGCTGTAGTTGTGACTACTATTCTCCTTTTAATCTGGATTTTAGGGATATATAAGAAACCAAATCTATGTCGTTTTGTAGCCATGTTAACCTGAAATTGTAGAAGCTACTTGTTGGGATGGTAAGTCCTAAATGCTTTGTGAGATGAGTCCAAAAGAAATCCAATTGCAACATTCCCACTTGCTTCAAGCAGACAAGAGTTCTTTCTCCCACCTTGGACACTCCACAGATATATAAACCCCACTTGCGTAGTTTCCAACAGACCCCACAACCTCTGAGGATACCTGCCATAGATAGAGGAGAAACATCAGGAGAAAATGCTTCTGGAACATGGCCATACAGCATGGAAAAACTCACAACAACCCAGTATCCCAACTCTGATTGGGAGCATAGCAGTGGTTACAAACGATGAGAAAGTGGACATCATTTATCCCTGGGCTTCCAGGTGTTTTGGACTTCAGTTCCCAGCATCCCCCATCGTTGACCAAGGCAGCTGAGGCTTCTGGGAGTTGAAGGCCAAAACATCTGGATAACATCTGGATAAGTCTTCAGCAGCACGGAGCCCCCATTGGCGCAGTGGGTTAAACCCCTGTGCAGGCAGGACTGAAGACCGACAGGTCGCAGGTTCGAATCCGGGGAGAGGCAGATGAGCTCCCTCTATCAGCTCCAGCTCCTCATGCGGGGACATGAGAGAAGCCTCCCACAAGGATGATAAAACAGCAACTCATCCGGGCGTCCCCTGGGCAACGTCCTTGCAGACGGCCAATTCTCTCACACCAGAAGTGACTTGCAGTTTCTCAGGTCGCTTCTGACACGACCAAAAGCTCCTGCGACAGAGAAGGAAACAAGCCCTGATCTCTGGCTTTATCCATTGATGCTCAATACTCTTATTGGCATGACTTGAGCATCTCAGCGCTGGCATGGGTTCCTGAAGGCGCTGAAACCAAATGCCCAATGAAGAGAGATTGGTAAAGTTGTGACGGCTGGTATTGGCGGCGTCTCCCTCCCGCCCCTGCACTCTTTATCTCCATTGATTTCCATTTAGTCTCGCTCAGTTGTTGTGGATTTCCCTGTCTAGCTGATCAATTGAATTGATTTGCCAGCCGCTGGGAGAGGAAATAGAGAGTTGGCAGGGACAGGGGATTCCCTCCTCCTCCTCCTCCGTCCCTTCTCACTCACTCAACCCAGTCCTGGCTGTCACGCCTGATGTTTCTCTTCTCTGCCTGTCAAAGGGCCTTTCCACACCTGTCTCTCCCAGATCCCTCCTAACTCACCCACCCAAGCTCCCCCATCCATAACCGACCCATTGGGACACCCAACCTTCCCTAATTTGCATGCATTTGCTTATTAATAAGGGGCATCCAGGTGGAACCAAGGTGACCCCTGTCGGGCGCTATTGGAATTGCAAGGCTTTCTCTTGAATTCGTAGAGTTTCATGTGAGAGAACCCATCTTAGAGGCAAGGAGAAGGCGTACCAGGAGTTCATTTCCAGGCAGACTCTGGGAATGAGCTGATTTCCTCAATCTGTTGCACCGCAGCCCCAGTCGGAAGGCTGTAAGCCAGCCGTAGCCTCATCCGGAGTGGCACCTGCGCAGGAGGAATGTTTACAAAACAGGTAAAGCTGTATACAATTGAGCAAAAACAATTGCAGATTCGGCTTTTGCAAATTCAATTATTTTGGATTTTGTCAAAGGCTTTCATGGCCAGAATCATTGGGTTGCTTTGAGTTTTCTGAGCTGTCTGGCCATGTTCCAGAAGCATTGTCTCCTGACATTTCGCCCACATCTATTGCAGGCATCCTCAGAGGTTGTGAGGTGTGTTGGAAACTAGGAAAATTGGGTTTATATATCTGTGGAGTAATGTCCAGGGTGGGAGAAAGAACTCTTGTCTGTTGGAGGCAAGTGTGAATGCTGCAATTGGCCACCTTGCTGAGCATTTAGATAACTGCTAGGCCATTAAATGCTAATCAAGCTGGCCAATTGCAACTAGGCATGTGGGGTGTATGTGTGTGCATCTGTTTGTGTGTATGTGGAATGCCCAGAGTGGGAGTAAGAACCCTTGTCTGCTTGAGGCAAGTGTGAATGTTGCAATTGGCCACCTTGCTTAGCATTTAGATAACTGCTAGGCCATTAAATGCTAATCAAGGTGGCCAACTGCAACTAGAAAGTGGGACTTGTGTGTGTGTGTGTAAGTATGTATGTGTATATAGAATGTCCAGGGTGGGAGAAAGAACCCTTGTCTGCTTGAGGCAAGTGTGAGTATTGCAATTGGCTACCTTGATTACTATTGAATGACCTTGTGGCTGATTGCTGCATGGGGGAATCCTTTCTTTGGAGGTGTTAGCTGGCCCTGATTGTTTCCTGTCTGGAATTCCCCTGGAAATAACCAGAGCCAGCTATCACTTCCCAACAAAGGATCCCCCAAGCACGAAGCAGCAAGACTTTGAAGCTGCAAGGTCCTTTAATGCTAATCAAGGGGGCCAATGACAACTTTCACACTTGCCTCCAACAGGCAAGAGTTCTTTCTCCCACCCTGGACATAATTCCACAGACATATAAACCCAATTTTCCTAGTTTCCAACAGATCTCCCAACCTCTGATGATGCCTGCCATAGATGTGGGTGAAATGTCAGGAGAGAATGCTACTGGAACATGGCCAGCCAACTCGGAAAATTCACAGCAACCCAGGCCTGACCTGAATTTCTGTTTGAGAACAGAACAGCTGCATTATTTGACTTCACAGGTTCATACCCCATTCTGGATTCATAGTTCTTCCGTATTCTTTACCTGCTTTGGGTTCAACACTCGGATGACCTGCGTAAGTGGGGCTCCTCCTTGGCCTGGGACTGTAGAGCCGCTGGGGGGCAAGAGCTCCACTTGGAAGGACTGCGGCACAAAGAGAAGGTAACAAAACCCATCAGGAAATGTGTATTTTGTTTTAAATTAACCTATGGAGACCTTTAAAGGTGCATCTACAGCAGGCATGGCCAAACTTGGGCCCTCTGGATGTTTTGGACTTCAACTCCCACAATTCCTAACAGCCTACCGGCTGTTAGGAATTGTGGGAGTTGAAGTCCAAAACACCCAGAGGGCCAAAGTTTGCCCATGCTTAATCTACATTAGAATGAATGCAGTTTGGCACCACCTTCGGGACGGCGACTTGGAGAGTAAAATTGGGAATATCGTCCGGCGTTTGGTTGGAGACGGTGGCCGTGATCAGCAGTAAGGTGGGTTCCAATGCAGGGCGCTCCATCGAGAAGTCGATAAGCAGTCCGTCCCGTTCATACACCTTCATGCAAGGAAGGGCAGTGGCTATGAGACAGAAGGCAATGAGACACTACATAGTCAGTGGCTTTCCTATATATGTTTCCAAGTTCCAAACAGTCTAAGGAACAGAGCAGAAAAAATTCTTAACATCTTGGATGACAATTCCCAGAATCCCCCAGTCAGCTGGGACCTTTTCTTATTCTGTATTTCCTATCCACATCTTTAGCATCAACATACCTACAGGGTTTAGATCCCCAAGGAAGTCAAGGAAGGAGGTGGCGGAAGGTGTGACAGTACTAGGCTGGGATACAGAGGAATCCACTGGTCCACCAAGGAGATCCAGCAGATCATAGACCTAGAGCAAAACAAAGCAGCACTTGGAAGGATGGCAATTTGGATGACCTTCATCCCACAATGCTATACCCCCCACTGTTGCTTGCAGTTCAACAAAAGATTTCACCTCATAGTTATTATGACCTAAAACAACGTTTCTCAACCTGGGGGTCGGGACCCCTGGAGGGGTCGCAAGGGCGTGTCAGAGGGGTCACCAAAGACCATCAGAAAAAACAGTATTTTTTGTTGGCCATGGGGTTTCTGTGTGGGAAGTTTGGCCCAATTCTATCGTTGGTAGGGTTCAGAATGCTCTTTGATGGTAGGTGGACTATAAATCCCAGCAACTACAACTCCCAAATATCTATTTCCCCAAAACTCCCCCAGTGTTCACTTTTGGGCATATTGAGTATTAGTGCCAAGTTTGGTCCTGATCCATCATGGTTTGAGTCCACAGTGCTCTCTGGATGTAGGTGAACTACAACTCCAAAACTCAAGGTCAATGCCCACCAAACCCTYCCAGGATTTTCTATTGGTCATGGGAGTTCTGTGTGCCAAGTTTGCTTCGATTCCATCATTGGTGGAGTTCAGAATGCTCCTTGATTGTAGGTGAAGTACAAATCCCAGCAACTACAACTCCCAAATGACAAAATCAACCCCCCGCCAAACCCCACCAGTATCCAAATTTGTGTCTATTGGATATTTGTGCCAAATTTGGTCCAGTGAATACATCCAATCTTTGCATTACAATTGATAACAGTAGCAAAATTACAGTTATGAAGTAGCAACGAAAATGATTTTATGGTTGGGGGTCACCACAACATGAGGAACTGTATTAAGGGGTCATGGCATTAGGAAGGTTGAGAAACACTGACCTAAAACAATATTTCTCAACCTGGGGGTTGCGACCCCTGGGGGGGTCAAACGGCCGTTTCATAGGGGTCGCCAGACCATTGGAAAGCACATATGTTTTCTGATTATCTTTAGCAGAGAAGGCTGAAGATCTCTCTGCCTGTCCTTCTCTCTATTTTTGGAACAAATCCTCACACCAAAAGCCAAGTTTGGTCCAGGTCTGTCATTCGTGCTGGTCTCAGTGGTCTGTGGAAGTCAGAGCTAAAGTGGTTGAAGGTACTGCAAATCCCATCATCCATTGCCAATACTTCCCCAAACATATTGTTTTTGTGATTAGTCATTATGATTTAATTATGTTCAATTTGTAACAATGGAAAATACATCCTGCATACCAAATATTTACATTATGATTCGTAACAGTAACAAAATTACAGTTATGAAGTAGCAACGAAAATAATTTTATGTTTGGGGGTCACCACAACATGAGGAACTGTATTAAGGGGTCTCGGCATTGGGAAGGTTGAGAAACACTGCCCTAAAATGTTTGTTTACAATTTTTCACTTGGTTCTATGGCGCCCTCTAATGTCAATATGGAGAAATGCGGCTCCTACCTGGTCGGATTTTTCTGGCTGGCTGTGATTGGAGGATGGCTCCACGTGCAGGATGTTTGGAGTATTATCCTCTTTTCCATTCTGTTCTTTCTCACTCTCTCCTTCATTGTCTCCAGGTTTCTCTGCTAAGGGCATCTTTTCCAGTACAGATGCTCTAGGAGAGTAAAGAAGAATTAGGGTGGCTTTCATTCTTTTTTTTAACATATATATTTTTTAAAAATGAAGATCTGCAGTTCAAATCCGCGAGACAGGGTGAGCTCCCATCTGTCAGCTCCACCTTCCCATGCAAGGACATGAGAGAAGCCTCCCATGGGATAACAAAACATCCGGGCGCCCCCTGGGCAACGTCCCTGAAGATGGCCAATTTTCTCACACCAGAAGCAACTTGTAGTTTCTCAAGTCGCTTAAGACACAGAAAAAAATTAATAATAACAAAGAAGCAAATCAAGAAAATCAAAGTGCATTGGCATGATCCATCTCCCATCCCGATAGCTATGGGAGCCATGTAAATAGGAAAATTTACCCTGTGCACTTCATTCCCAGCTATGGGTCGAATCTCATCTTTGAACTACAAAGTTTAAACAGGACTCTGGCATATTTATTTGTTTGTTTGTTTACAGTGTTTATATTCCACCCTTCTCACCCTGAAAGGTCATACGAAAGCTGACTGGCACAACCTGGGAATCATAACCAGACACAGTGAAGACATCCTCCCTTGTGCTATGCTACTCAAGCAAAAAGTGGGTGCTAGAAACAATATCATACGAAAGCTGACTGGCATAGCCTGGGGATCACAACCAGACACAGTGAAGACATCCGCCCTTGCGCTATGCTACTCTGTTGCTGAGTATGCATGTCCAGTGTGGAAGACATCTCACCACACTAAAACAGTAGATGTGGCTCTTAATGAAACATGCCGCATTATCACGGGGTGTCTGCGCCCCACACCACTGGAGAAATTACACTGCTTAGCCGGTATTGCACCACCTGACATCTGCCGGGAAGTAGCAGCCAATAGTGAAAGGACCAAGGCAGAGACATCTCCAGCTCATCCCGTTTGGGTATCAGCCAGCACGTCAACGACTTAAATCAAGAAATAGTTTTCTAAGATCTACAGAGACACTCGCTGGAACACCTCAGCAAGTGAGAGTCCAAAAGTGGCAGGCTCAAACCCAAGCCTCAACCAATGGCTGATACCAAATGAGAGACTCCCCCCTGGGCACACAGAAGACTGGGCAACTTGGAAAGCGCTGAACAGACTGCGCTCTGGCACCACGAGATGCAGAGCCAACCTCAAGAAATGGGGCTACAAAGTGGAATCCACGACATGCGAGTGTGGAGAAGAGCAAACTACAGACCACCTGCTGCAATGCAACCTGAGCCCTGCCACATGCACCATGGAGGACCGTCTTGCGGCAACACCAGAAGCACTCCCAAGTGGCCAGATACTGGTCAAAGGACATTTAATCAACTACCAAGCTTGCAAACTCTGTGTCTTTTGTATGTTTGTTTGTTTTGTTCTGTCAAAAATGTAATACAACTGTTCGGTTGCCTGACACGATAAATAAATAAATACCCTGAAGGGGACACTGAGCAGAGCACAGAACATATGTATGGCAAAACATTCAATGCTGTTACACAAAGACAACATACAACTGTATATAATAAAGGTATATATAGGCTTCCCCCCATCTTCGGGATCCTGGAGGCTGTGCTCAGTTCTGGCCACTTGGAGGTGCTGTTGCTCCATCTTCCCTGCCGAAGAGCTTTTGTTTGTAAACTTCCTCGTTTTGATCAAATTGCTGGCATTTTCTGGCATTTCCTTATGGGTGTCTTAATACCTCCCTGATTTTTAAAGCGGTACCTATTTATCTAGGGAGATCCCTGTGGTGCAGTGGGTTAAACCACTGAGCTGTTGAACTTGTTGACTGGAAGGTCGTAGGTTCGAATCCGGGGAGCGGCTTGAACTTCTGCTATTACCCTAGCTTCTGCCAACTTAGAAGTTTGAAAACATGCAAATGTGAGTAGAGTAATAGGTACCGCTCTGTCGGGAAGGTAAAGGCACTCCATGCAATCATGCCAGCGACATGACCTTGGAGGTATCTGTGGACAACGCCGGATCTTCGTCTTAGAAATGGAGATGAGCACCAACCCCCAGAGTCGGATACAACTGGACTTAATGTCAGGGGAAAACCTTTACCTTTAACTTTACCTTTACCGTTTACTTGTTTATCTACTCACAATTAATGTTTTCGATGTGCTAGGTTGGCAGGAGCTGGGCTGAAGGCCGGGAGCTCACCCTGACCCTGGCTTCGAACTACCAATATTTTGATTAGCAAGATTTACTGCATCTGCTGATTAACCTGCTGTGCTAAAGCCTGGCCCGTATTTATTGGACTCTAAATACGAATTAACTCTTTCTGCACCACTCAATGCTCAGAAGGACTCTAAATCCCATAAGCCTGGTGGGTAAAGCCACCAACCCCTTCCCAACCAGCCACTTCTAAGCAAGACAATACCCTCTAATCTAGCAAGTACCTGAGATGGTCATATTTTCGGAAGAGAGCATTATATTCCACCGCTCGCTGCTGCAGCTCAATGTCGTGGCAGCTACAATAAATGGAAACCAAACTCCGGATCCGGCTTTTGGATGGAAGAGAAGCCAAAGAGGGAAGAGAAAGAATAGAGAGAGCTGGTTATCATTGATGTATTCGTTCATATACGAATCAAGAAGTGAAGGAAGGAAAGAAAGACTAGAGGGAGATAATTATTTCTTTGGTCAATGTAGACCAGGTATGAGCAAACTTTGGCCCTCCAGGTGTTTTGGACTTCAACTCCCACAATTCCTAACAGCCTACCGGCTGTTAGGAATTGTGGGAGTTGAAGTCCAAAACACCTGGAGGGCCAAAGTTTGCTCATACCTGGTGTAGACTTATATAATACAGTCTGCACTGACTAGTCTTGTTTCAGGTCAATTCCAACGGGTCAAGGGTGGTGGGTCCCTTCTCAACAACCCTGCAAGGCAGACCACATTCTGAAAGAGGTTCTCACTTGACGTCGCTCTCCTGGAGGTGTGTCCCGAGTTTCATGAGGGCCGTGAGGGCATAGGCTCTGGTGGCCGGCAGGGACAGGTGAGACTGCAGCACCCGTTCCAGGAGGGAGAGGATCTCCTCTGGATGAACCTGTCGGGAGCGAAGTGGTCAAGGAAAGCGGGATGAGCAAACCTCTCCAACCTCATGTGTACCACTCAATGTGCAACCAGGATGCCTTCTCACCTGCTTCGGCTCCACCTCTTCGCAGCTGCCATCCAGGAGGAGGTTGCCATATTCCCCGATACACCAGGTGGCGACTTGGACCAAAGGTTGCTATGAGGAGGACGGAAGAAGATGGAGGAATGGTCAACTGATACCCTACAGTACTCTTTTGTGGGAGTTAAGGGCAAAGGACTCTCCAAAAATGTAAAAATACAAATAAAAAACACTATTTTTATATATCTAAGAGGGCCGCCTGCTGGCGCATCAGGTTAAACCGCTGAGCTCCTGCTGTTAGGACCAGCTTCTGTCAACCTATCCAATGTGGTCATAGGAGCTCCCAGTGGCACAGTGGGTTAAAGCGCTGAGCTGCTGAACTTGGTGACCGAAATGTTGCAGGTTCGAATCTGGGGAGTGGCATGAGTTCCCCAGCTTCTGCCCACCTAGCAGTATTATTATTATTAAGTTCAGCATCGCCTGGTAGTGTAGTGGGTTAAACCGCTGAGCTGCCGAACTTGCTGACTGAAAGATCGGCAGTTCGAATCTTGGGAGTGGGATGAGCTCCCGTTGTTAGCCCCAGCTTCTGGCAACCTAGCTGTTCGAAAACATGCAAATTTGAATAGATCAATAGGTACCGCTTTTGCAGGAAGGTAATGGCGTTCCTTGCCGTCATGCCAACCACATGACCTTGGAAGTGTCTACGGACAATGGTGGCTCTTTGGCTTAGAAATGGAGATGAGCACCACCCTCAGAATCAGACACGACTAGATTTAATTGTTAGGGCATGTAAAAATCAGTTGGTGAGTGTGTTAACTAAAAATGTAAAGCATGAAGCTGATTGTTTGGGCCATGCCTAAGAAGCTAGCTGAGCCTGGGAGTTTTGGCAACAGTTACATGTGCAGGAGCTGTCCAGGGACAGAGAAGAGAAAGTTCTTTTTTCATGAACTGCTGGAAGAAAATTACCCACATGGACACCTAAATACTATTTGAATCTCTCTCAAAAGAACATTGTGTGAGTCAATGCAACTGTTCTCATGACTGTATATATATAGTTCTGCGTTACTTCGAGTAAACATCTTGTTCTTTACTGATCTTCTGTGTGGAATATTTTCTTTCTCTGGCAAGACAGTGTGTGGACTGGTAAAACATCCTTCTACATTAATGTCAAGGGGAAACCTTGACCTTTAAGAGAACACTTCTCTGGGCATCTTTAGGTCTTCCAGATCAACTCTACAGTCAACTTCTACTAGACCAAGTTGTCCTGTAACTAGATTATGTCCTAGGTATCTCAAGACGTTGACCATAGGATCATGCTGGAGGACCTAGAGAACATTTCTCTTGGAATCTCTAGGCCCTCCAGGCTGACTCTAAGGTCAGCTTCTGGCAGATGTTGACCACAGAATCATGCTGGAGGAACTAAAGTTTCCTAGTGAAGAGTTCTCTTTAGCAATCTCTCATTCCTCCAAGCTAAGTCTATAGCCAACTTCTTCCACAATTTGATGTTATGGAACCATGAGAGTTGTTGTCCTCTAAGTTCTTTAGCCTTCTCAGCCAAAGAATACTATCATACTACAAATCCCAAGATTACACAGCATTGAGCCATGGTGATTAAAGAGGTGTCGAACTGCAATAATTCTACACCCAAAAAGAGGATGATATCCCCACTCAATCCCCTTTTCCAACTCTCCAAAAGACAACGCACACGCTGTTGGGTGCTCCTAAAATCACCAGCAAACCCACCTGAGAGATATCCTGCACCAGGGCACTGTATAACTGCTGCACCGCATAACCATGGAGTTCCTTGGCTCCTCCAATTAGACAGATGAGATTGGGAACACAGTCGTCACGTACGTATAAGCCAGCCTAGACATGGACAGAGATGGTAGATTTGGTTCCCTTTCCAGAGATGTGGCTCAGCTTCAACACCCCTTTTCAGGAAAAGTATAAAGAGCCCTGCCCTCTTCTTCTACCACTCCCAAAGTCTCAAGGCTTTGGATCTCCTATAGGTCTGGGAATTGTATGATAGGTTTCCTCAATCCCCTTTCCCCATGATACCATCTTTAGGTAGTTTCCCATCTTCTGTATGTCTTATGAAAGGTTGGAGGGTTTCACCTAAGGCTTACCTTGAAGTTGTATGAAGACCTGTGAATTACAGCAATGTTGCTAGAGCATTTCATGGTCAGAGACAGAGAGAGATGGAATTAGAGATGGAGATAGAGTCAGCAATAGAGATGGGGTTAGAGATGGGGTTATTGAGATATAGTTAGTGACAGACGCGATCCCTTAATACAGTTCCTCATGTTGTGGTGACCCCCAACCATAACATTATTTTCGTTGCTACTTCATAACTATCATTTTGCCACTGTTAAGAATCGTAATGTAAATATCTGATATGCAAGATGTATTTTCATTCATTGGGCCAAATTTGGCACTAATACCTGATATGCCCAAGTTTGAATACTTATGGGTTTGTGGGGAGGTTGATTTTGTCATTTGGGAGTTGTAGTTGCTGGAATTTATAGTTCACCTACAATCAAAGAGCATTCTGAACTTCACCAGTGATGAAATTGAACCAAACATGGCACACAGAACTCCCATGACCAACAGAAAATACTGGAAGAGTTTGGTGGGCATTGACCTTGAGTTTTGGAGTTGTAGTTCACCTACATCCAGAGAGCACTGTGGACTCAAACAATGATGGATCTGGACCAAACCTGGCACAAATCCTCAATATGCCCAAATGTGAACACTGGTGGAGTTTGGGGAAAATAGACCATGACATTTGGGAGTTGTAGTTGCTGGGATTTATAGTTCATCTACCATCAAAGAGCATTCTGAACTCCGCCAAAGATAGAATTGGGCCAAACTTCCCACACAGAATCCCCATGCCCAACAGAAAATCCTCTGCTTTCTGATGGCCTTTGGTGACCCCTCTGATACCCCCCTCATGACCCCCAGATTGAGAAACACTGATATAGAGAGAGATAGTGTTAAAGCTAAAGAGTTAGAGATGGAGAGTGTTAGAGTTAGAGGCAGATAGAATAAGAGAGAAATTCCTGAGGAGCCTTGAAACTGACTTTTGATCCATCTACAAAGGAGAAATAAATGCTAATACAATAGATAGATAGATAGATAGATAGATAGATAGATAGATAGATAGATAGAGGAAGCAGGGTTAAAAGCATGCTGCATTTTGATAAGAAGTCAGTTCCTCCAAGAGAAAATAATGTCTTCCAAGACTTCCAGTTCTGTGGTCCTTCTGGAGCCCACCACCTTTCCGATCTCCTGTCTCCTTACCATGGTCAGAACTTGGAGGATGGTGTCTATGTGCCAACGCTTGTTGGGTGCAAACCTGGAGAAAGGAGAAGTGGGAGGGAATATCTCAGACTCAGGCAGCTCCCTAGATCACCTGCCGGAGGGAACAACCAGAGCTGACTTACTTACTTCTCAGCTGCCAAAAATATCCCAGAAGCACAGTCCGACTTCAGGTCCGGGGCACAGGTCTCAAGAAACACCAGGAGCTCCTTAACACTGGTTCTCACGTTGCTGTTGCTCACCAAAGCCAGGCTAAGTTGCAGCGCTCGCCTACGGAGAACAGAAGGGTTTTTCTATATTTTACTTCATGGTCCCCAAATGCTTTCAGCTAGATAGTCATCTGACTAATCCAGAAAGCTGATGGCCATAGTAACTGTGGATAATAGGGATAGGAGTCTTGGCAGGAGGTTGGACTGGATGTCCCATGAGGTCTCTTCCAACTCTATGATTCTATGAGTCCCTATATATGGAAGATACTAGGTAAGAGAAAACTTCTTTTTTTTTACTATGGATCTACTGAGCATTTTCATTTCTGGAACCTCTTCTTGGCTTCCCATCCCTTCCTTCCACCTTGGTAGAGTGAACCAACTTGTATTACCTATATTCACTAATCTATAGGGGTTTAGACACAGCAAATATTTATGATGACTTAATGTTGGTTAACTTCTATCACAATCTAGTATCACATTGACTTTTTTAGCTGCTACATCACACTGTTGGCTCATGTTCAACTTGAAGTCAACTAAGACTACTACATCCCTTTCAAGCCAGGGGTCACCCATCTGATATCTGTGCATTTCCTTTTTTCCTAAATGCAGGACTGTATTTTCTCCCAATTGAAATTCATTTTGTGAGTTTTGTCTCAGCACTCCAGTCTGTTAAAGTAATTTTGGATCCTACTCCTACATTTATATGTTATGCAAAGAAGTCTTAAGCTTCTTTCCCTTCTCTGTCAAACCCTATATATGTTGGTGGGTGGGCTGTGGACTGCTGATTGTTCAGCTTCTGCCTTGTCGAATGATTACTCTACTTCAGAAAGCCAATGTTATGTCTCACATCTCCCAATGTACCTCTTTACAGTTGGGTCAGGATCACTCAGGCAGGCCAGGACGGTGTCTCGGTGCCTTTGGACAGCACTGTTTTCGGTTTGCAGCAATTTCTGAAGAGATGTCAGAGCCACGTACCTAAAAAGAACAATGTCAATGGCATCGGCAGCACAACAAGGCAGGGAACACGATCACAGTCACCTTAAACTATAAACTACTTTATTTACAGCTATAAACATTAAAAAATACTTAACTCTAAGCACATCGTAAAAGTGCTTTCTCTCTGTCTGGTAGCTACATCGCGAACGTACAGAACACGTTATCAGTACTAGTCCACACCTCCTGCATTCCAGAGTGATGTATGACGCATGATGCTGCATCCATTGCTCTATACACTTTGATTTATGACCTCTTTAGGAATGCCGCTCCCTCCATGGTACAGTTAACTCTTTCCACACAGGAATACTCTCGGCACATAGCATTGCATTTTAAACATACATACATACATACTTTGAAATCTGCATTACACATTTCAAAGTGCTGCAACAAGCAAGACAGAGAAAAAGAACTGTGTGTTTATGTATATATGTATATAATGTGTATATATGTGCCTTTTTCACTCCATCTCTAACTCTAACTCTATCTCTTATATCTCTATCTCTTACTAGCTCTGTCTCTAACTAGCTTTAACTCCATCTCCAACTCTATCCCCATCTGTTGTGGTTCGGCCAACTAATGAAAACAAGGGGATTGTTATTACAGAGCCTGGGATAGTGGGTGGGTTTTTCAATGAGGGAAATGAGGGGTGTTTAGATCCTGTCTGTGAGAATGGGCTTGAAAGTGAAAATGCTTCAAGAGTCCAGCAGACAGGGAGATGTAGTGGCTGGCAAAGACTTTTCAACTATGTCACACCTCAGAATAGATTCACCTTGCTGAAATCACCAAACTGCACACAGACAAGTGTTTGTAGTTTATTGAAAAGTAAAAGATAAAAACTTCTTAAAAGCAAGTAATGTTCCAAAAGATCAATATAACATAGCACTATGAAGCATGATTCCAAGAGGCACCAACAAAACAAAATCCCATGAGAACATGACAAAGTCCCGAGACCATGGACACAAGAACTACAAGATAATCCAGGCAAATGAGCACAAGCTGCTTGATTGAGCAAAAAGTTGCTCTGACAAAGGTTTGTTTTCAAATACCCTGCTTAATACCCTTTGCAACACATGAAAGCATTTCTTTGGCCTCTGACTTCCTTCTTGCTAGCTATTCTCATACTCCTTTGAACTCTGAATTCCAAATGGTCAGCCTGATCTAAGGTTCCCGTTTCATCAAGGTCAGGCTGCTCGTTAGTGTGAGCCTGATTGCCTTCCTGCCTACTATCAGGCTGAGAACTGTCCTCCTTTTCTGAGTCAATTTGCACCTGGCTAGTTTCAGTATCAAAACATCATTCCCTGCTGTGGGAAACTGAATTTGCACACCCTGTTCCTCATTGTTGACAACAGAAACATTTTGAACCTGATTGTGAACCTGAATCCCATCATCCTCATCAGAGTCACCCCGAGACCCCCGAGACCCCATCTGAGTCACAACACCAGCAGTCTGTGGTTCCAGTTAGTTGTCTCATAGCAACCCCAGATAAGGAGTGGATGGGTGAGAAAGTTCACCTGAAAACACATCTGTGGTCAGCAGGAATCTCAGGCTTCATCTTAGGGAAGAAGCAAGCAAATTAAGAAGGTCACAGAGACTCTGTGAGAAACAATAGTGTGAGAAATCTCACAGGCAAGGGAGTCAAGGTCACAGAAATGACTTCATGGCTTGGGGACCTTAAATTAGAGAATTGTTTCCTTTAGAATTCAGATCAGGCAACACTGTATAACAGTGAGGATCTTGAGCCTTGTTTCAAGTCCCTGTTTTCATCTAAGATCTTGGGAGTTTGGATTCATGCTTGAAGAAGTTTCTATAGTCTTAGTTTTGGATTCATGTTCATGTTTTGATTCTTGTTTTCCTGGATTTATGCTCATGTTTTGAGCATAAGCGGCCGAGGCTGTTAGGAATGGTGAGAGATGAAATCCAAAACACTTGGAGGGCCCAAGTTTGCCCAGGCCTGGTCTAGATGCAACCAAAGTCATCTCACTTTTTGCATATGTTAAGTCCACTGTTGTTAATTAATTTATTATTTATTTATATAGAACTTTTATATCCCATTCTTCTCTACCTCAGAACAGCTAACAACAGCAAAAATTCAATGCTACAATAAACTTAATCCCTTCTTTCTCTGCTTTGTGGATACTCCCCAACATGTCATATCTAAAAAGTGGCCAAGCAGTACCTGAGTGCGATCAAAATAACAAAAAGGATGAATCAATGAGGAAGAACTTATGACTCTTCCTCCTTTGACTTTTTACCTGATATTTCGATCCTTGTTGAGGAGGAATCGCCCAAGGATATTGATAGCAAGAACCTGTGGACAGAAAAGGGAGGCGTCCTTTTGATCCAGAATGTACCCAAGATGTCCCTATTCCTACTAGAGGTAAAATATTGCTAATTTTTTATTTTTGTCCTATTTTTATTTGTGAAAGAAGAAAAGTTTTGTGGGCGATTTTTAGTGTCTTGGACTATTGGGCGAGCCTCCAAAATGAGTTCCAAGACCATCCTTTTGGAAAGGCATGACCTTTTAGAGATCATAACCTTTCAAGAAACCAGGAATCTTCATAGTCTTTTGTAAGCATGACCCTTTTGGAGATTAATTGGCATTCACACTATTTGAAATAATTGTGCTGGTACGGCTGTACCAGGAGCTCCAACTTCATTTCTTTCTATTGAGTGTTTGCATGCATTCCAAGGTTCCATGCATTTTGCAATAAGGTGGCTTCCCTTGGTTTGCAATTATAGGGCCAATGACCCATCCATCATTGTTAAGTTTTGATTCCGCCCCTTTCCCCAGGGCTCTGGGAGTAGAGGGAGCCATTTTAGGTCAGTCTTGCATTGGAAAGCTTAGCTACAGGATGTGGATTAGCTCCACCTGTAGAGAAGCTTCGTTTCTCAAAGCATCCGGGGGAAATTCCAGGGGAAAACAGTTCCAAAGGACTCCAGCTGGAGAATCTACAAAGCCTTGACTGGTAGGTCTACTCGGGACCCAGGAAGCAGTTTGGAGCCGGGAGTAGAGCCCACACCAGCAAAGTTTAGAAAGTAGATTGCCCAAGGAGGGGTTAAAAAGAGTTTTCCTCTTAAAGAAAAGAAACAGTCCACGAAGCCAGTTGCCTTGTGGACAAGATTAAGAAAGCCACCAGTTGATTCAAAGCCTTGAAGTATTTGTTTGACTTGTTGAAGATCCGAGAAGTATTTGATTGTTTTGTTGAAGGACCTTGTTAAACTTTTCAAGCTTCTAAAGACTTTGTATAGGAAAATCCTTAGGGCCTCTCAGCTGAGGCACCCCGGCTTCCCGCTGGGAACAAAGAGCACGTCCTGTTCAAAAGCCATTTGCTATAGGCCCAGCGCGTGACAGCACAATAATCATGACCCTTTCGTAAAGTATGGTCTTCCTGAGAAAAGTCAAATACTCATCTGAGTGAATCCTCTTCTTAGTGGTAAATATCCACTAAAATTCATGCAAGTCAAATTGGGCTTCTCAGTTGTTAGACTGATATACCTGGTTATCTCTCTGAATTAGAAACAAAGATATGGCAATGCACAAAATTTATATAGCAGATCTTCAGAAGTGTTATTTCAGTAACATAGTTGATTTACTTCCAAACTTCATGTATTCAGCACACAGGTACATTTCTTATTGGTTGAGAGTTTAAATAGTAAGTAAATGTTTCAGTCTCTTCTTTGTTGCATACAGACGAACACTCTCTTCAGTCTAATACATTACTGAATATTGACTCAATAAAGACCGACTACACACTGCAGCATACTGACACTCACTGACTTCTAAACTGTACTCCTTCTGAAGTAAACAAACTCATACAGGCTTCTAAAATGGAGTCTCAGTCTGAATAGTCCCAGATCTGGTCACATGGTCTGCAGTTCCTCCCACAACCTCAAACAACATAGAGGGCCATCCAGCCCAACCCCATTCTAGGAGGACACTGTCAAAGCCCTCCTGACAGACGGCCATCTGGCTTCTGCTTAACAGGTGAGAAGTCCCCAGTGGCACAATGGGTTAAACCCTTGTGCTGGCAGGACTGAAGATCTACAGGTCGGAGGTTCAAATCTGGGGAGAGCATGGATGAGCTCCCTCTGCTGGCAGGACTGAAGACCAACAGGTCACACGTTTGAATCCAGGGAGAGTGCAGATGAGCTCCCTCTGTTAGCTCCAGCTCCCCATGCGGAGACATAAGAGAAGCTTCCCACAAGGATGGTAAAACATCAAAAAAAAATCTGGGCATCCCCTGGGCAACTTCCTTGCAGATGGCCAATTCTCTCACATCAGAAGCAACTTGCAGTTTATTGTCGAAGACTTTCATGGCCAGAATCACTGGGTTGTTGTGGGTTTTTTCGGGCTATATGGCCATGTTCTAGAGGCATTCTCTCCTGACGTTTCGCCTACATCTATGGCAAGCATCCACAGAGGTAGAGAGGACCTCACTACCTCTGAGGATGCTTGCCATAGATGCAGGCGAAATGTCAGGAGAGAATGCCTCTAGAACATGGCCATATAACCCGAAAAAATCCACAACAACTTGCAGTTTCTCAAGTCACTTCTGACATGGAAAACAGAAGAGAATAAGGTGTTGATTGATACCAATACATTTTGTCCTACCCGTAGTCCGCTGGTTGACTGTACACCCATGATGGTCAGCACTGTCTCATACAGGATGGCGTTGCCCACGTTCCGTGTCGTCTCTGTGTTGGTGGCCACCTGGGGGAAATCAGACAAATGCAATGATTGGGCTGAAGCTGAGGGACATTTCCTTCTGATGCCTTCCCATCCATTTTCATCGAACCATCGAGTTGGAAGAGACCCCAAGGACCATCCAGTCCAACCTCATCAAAACCTTCCCATCAAGCTTCTGCTTGAAGTAGACTTCATGGAGTTCATATTTTGGCCCCATTCTACCCTTCTTCATTGTCAAGAATTGCGTTGATTTTGCGGTGTAGATCAGGCATGGGCAAACTTGGTCCTCCCTCCAGGTGTTTTGGACTTCAACTCCCACAATTCTTAACAGCCTAGCTGTTAGGAATTGTGGGAGTTGAAGTCCAAAACACCTGGAGGGAGGACCGAGTTTCACAAGCAAAAGGTTGACAGATTGATTCAGGATGATCGTTGTATCACTCATAGAATCATAGAATCAAAGAGTTGGAAGAGACCTCTCATGGGCCATCCAGTCCAACCCCATTCTGCCAAGAAGCAGGAATATTGCATTCAAATCACCCCTGACAGATGGCCATCCAGCCTCTGTTTAAAAGCTTCAAAGAAGGAGCCTCCACCACACTCCGGGGCAGAGAGTTCCACTGCTGTTGACTCATGTCCAGCTTGTGGTATATCAGGATACCCAAATCTCTTTCATATCTACTCAAAACTGAGGATTGTGTTCCCCACGGCAGTGTCTCCAGCTCCATCTTCACCTGAGCCAAGGTGTCATTCATGGCCTCGCTGGTGTCCTCGTTGTCCCGTCCCAGGATCCTTAGGAGCCTCAAGATCTGTACCTGCGGTGGAAGGGAATATGAGAAGGGACGGGAAGCACGGAAGGCTCAGAAATGTGACAACAGGAATGCACAAGAAGGGAGAGGTGAAGCCATTGCTTTGGGGGGGGGGTGTAAAAGAGGGAGAAAGCCTTAGCATACTTCCTCCATTTAGCTGTGGAACAAATAATGTGTCTTCCCCTTTTTGGGGCCCCTTCTACACTGCCATTGTTGGAGTTCTAGGAGCTCTAGGTGCTCTTACTGCCTATTACAGGGGAAACCAGCTGATCCCTTGTTGTTGTTGTTGTTCATTCGTTCAGTCGTCTCCGACTCTTCGTGACCTCATGGACCAGCCTACGCCAGAGCTCCCTGTCGGCCGTTACCACCCCCAGCTCCCTCAAGGTCATTCCAGTCACTTCAAGGATGCCATCCATCCATCTTGCCCTTGGTCGGCCCCTCTTCCTTTTGCCTTCCACTTTCCCCAGCATAATTGTCTTCTCTAGGCTTTCCTGTCTCCTCATGATGTGGCCAAAGTACTTCAACTTTGTCTCTAGTATCTTTCCCTCCAGTGAGCAGTCGGGCTTTATTTCCTGGAGGATGGACTGGTTGGATCTTCTCGCAGTCCAAGGCACTCTCAGCACTTTCCTCCAACACCACATCTCAAAAGCATCGATCTTCCTTCGCTCAGCCTTCCCTAAGGTCCAGCTCTCACATCCGTAGGTTACTACAGGGAATACCATGGCTTTGACTAGGCGGATCTTTGTTGCCAGTCTGATGTCGCTACTCTTCACTATTTTATCGAGACTGGACATTGCTCTCCTCCCAAGAAGTAAGCGTCTTCTGATTTCCTGGCTACAGTCTGCATCTGCAGTAATCTTTGCACCTAGAAATACAAAGTCTGTCACGGCCTCCACGGTTTCTCCTTCTATTTTCCAGTTGTCAATCATTCTTGTTGCCATAATCTTGGTTTTTTTGACGTTTAGCTGCAACCCGGCTTTTGCGCTTTCTTCTTTCACCTTGATTAGAAGGCTCCTCAGCTCCTCCTCGCTTTCGGCCATCAGAGTGGTGTCATCTGCATATCTGAGGTTGTTAATGTTTCTTCCAGCAATTTTCACCCCAGCTTTGCATTCATCAAGCCCCGCACATCGCATGATGTGTTCTGCATACAAGTTAAAAAGGTTGGGTGAGAGTATGCAGCCTTGCCGTACGCCTTTCCCAATCTTGAACCAGTCTTGTTCCGTGGTCAGTTCTGACTGTTGCTACTTGGTCCTTGTACAGATTCCTCAGGAGAGAGGGAAGGGGGCTTGGGATGCCCATACCACCAAGAACTTGCCACAATTTATTATGATCCACACAGTCAAAGGCTTTAGAATAGTCAATGAAGCAGAAGTAGATGTTTTTCTGAAACTCCCTGCCTTTCTCCATTATCCAGCGGATATTGGCAATCTGGTCTCTCGTTCCTCTGCCTTTTCTAAACCCAGCTTGAACATCTGGCAACTCTCGCTCCATGTATTGCTGGAGTCTTCCTTGCAGGATCTTGAGCATTACCTTACTGGCATGAGAAATAAGGGCCACTGTACGGAAGTTTGAGCAGTCTTTCGCATTTCCCTTTTTTGGTATGGGGATATAAGTTGATTTTTTCCAATCTGATGGCCATTCTTGTGTTTTCCATATTTGCTGGCATATGGCATGCATCACCTTGACAGCATCATCTTTTAAGATTTTAAACAGTTCAGCTGGGATCCCGTCGTCTCCTGCTGCCTTGTTGTTAGCATTCAACTTCACTCCTCAGGATGTCTGGTTCTAATTCATTCACCACACCGTCATAACTATCCTCAATATTATTATCCTTCCTATACAGATCTTCTGTATAGTCTCGCCACCTTCTCTTGATCTCTTCAGCTTCTGTTAGGTCCCTGCCATCTTTGTTTCTTATCATACCAATTTTTGCCTGAAATTTACCTCCAATGTTTCTAATTTTCTGGAAGAGTTCTCTTGTCCTTCCTATTCTGTTGTCTTCTTCCACTTCCATGCATTGCTTATTTAAAAATAGTTCCTTATCTCTTCTGGCTAACCTCTGGAATTGCGCATTTAACTGGGCATATCTCCCCTTTTCACTGTTTCCTTTTGCTTTCCTCCTTTCTTGGGCTACTTCCAGTGTCTCAGCAGACAACCATTTTGCCTTCTTGGTTTTCTTTTTCTTTGGAACGTACTTTGTTGCCGCCTCCTGAACAATGTCGCGGACTTCTGTCCATAGTTCTTCTGGGACTCTGTTTACTAAATCTAGTCCTTCAAATCTGTTCTTCACTTCCACTGTATATTCGCTAGGAATGTTAGTGAGATCATATCTAACTGGTCTGTGTATTTTCCCTGATCTCTTTAGTTTTATTCTAAATTGGGCAATAAGATCTAAAACACAGACATGTGCTTTTCACCTTAAGAACAGGCAAGCACCCCGAGCTCTGAGGATGACCTGGGAAGGAATCCCACTGGAGCATTGCAGCGCACCCAAATACCTAGGAGTCACTCTGGACCATGCTCTGGCTTATAAAAAGTACTGCTTGAACATAAAGCAAAAAAAAAAAAAAATGGGTGCTAGAAATAATATCATACAAAAAATGACTGGCACAACCTGGGGGTCACAACCAGACAAAGTGAAGACATCTGCCCTTGCGCTTTCCTACTCTGCCGCTGAGTATACATGCCCAGTGTGATACACATCTCACCATGCTGAAACAGTGGATGTGGCTCTTAATGAGACATGCCGCATTATCACGGGGTGTCTGTGCTCTACACCACTGGAGAAATTACACTGTTTAGCCGGTATTGCACCACCTGACATCCGCCGGGAAGTAGCAGCCAATAGTGAAAGGACCAAGGCAGAGACATCTCCGGTCCATCCTCTGTTTGGGTATCAGCCAGCACGACAATGATTTAAATCAAGAAATCGTTTTCTAAGATCTACAGAGGCACTCGCTGGAACACCTCAGCATGTGAGAGTCCAAAAGTGGCAGCATAACCTCAATCAATGGCTGATACCAAATGAGAGACTCCCTCCTGGGCACACAGAAAACTTGGCGACTTGGAAGGCACTGAACATTCAAATTTTCATTATAAATTGCAGTTCCCAAATGGTTCTGTCATAAAAATCATCAAGAATGAAATAATAATGAAATTTTGAAAGTTCTGTTAGAGTTCTGAAATTTTCACCACCAGACCTTTAGCAACACTGTAGAAGCAAAGCACCAGCGCCCCCTAGTTTTCACCACCAGAATTTTAGTTTTGGAAGTGCTTTAGAACCATTTAGAAGCATGGATTGCACATGTCTACCAACCATAGTTACCTGAAACTTTAAGATATGACCAAACTCTACTAAACTATCTGTTGCATCCCAGATCAAAAAACGAGACCATAAGATTAAATCCACCACACTGGTCTGTAGGAAAAAACAATCCTTTTTATTGATGAAAAATTTGTTACAAAAGAAAGTTAAATGCAAGTCAAAAAACCACTATAGAAACACAGCAGTCAGGAAAATCTCTGAACTTGAGCAAAATTCCAAAAACCATAATACAAGAACCAGGAACCTGTTAGCCTCTCACTAACCATGTACTTGAAAAACTAGAAGCCTCTGGGATTACCGGCCATGGAACACAGGAATTCTGCCAAGGCACAGCCACAGTCCCAAACGTTGCTTGATCTAAGGAGGCACCCGGCAGGCAGCCCCTTATACCAAAGAAACTATTCCTTGAAACGCCCCTTGACTTTGAAGCCTGAGCCTGTCCCTCCTGTAATCTATTTGACCTTCGTAGGAGCTGTGAATCACTCCTGTCTCTCGTTATCTGTTCCCTTCGGTCCTCATTAAAAAACCCAGGTGGAGAGCTATAACGGCTGGATTCCAAAACATTTTCATCCGGCTGTTCAGTTTCGTTTTCCCCGCCACTGAACTCAGCATCAACACCAGTTTCCACATTGTCAGGGGAAACTACATGTTCAGTGCTTGCTCAGTTGGAAATACTATCAGAGAATCAGGTTCACACAGATCAGGTTCACACAGATCAGGCTGAACCCCAACACCACCCAGCTTCCAACCTCTTTTAAATGGTGGGGGAAAGATACACAAATGTGTACAAAGGATGACAAGGGGAAGAGGACGTTTTACCTGCAGAAATGGGTTGCTGATCCCTGAAATACTATGATCCGGAGAGTATCCAGCCACTACTAGGTTTCGGAGTATTCCGACCATTTGGGACACATGCTGTAAAAGAAAAAGAAAGAAGGAAACTACAGCTCCCAGGATGCCGTGAAGGTAGAGGAAATGTCAAACGGCATTAATTCAACGGTGTATCAGGCATGGGCAAACTTTGGCCCTCCAGGTGTTTTGGACTTCAACTCCCACAATTCCAAACAGCCTACCTGCCACGTATGTCAGAAAACTGGCTACTGAAAAGACAGTGAAGAAAGACGGTCAGAGAAGTATTGAATCAAAAGCAAAGGGATATGAGAGGTTAAATTCATGGCAACTCACCTTGCTGAAGCACTGAAGGGCCTGCGGGCTTTGTTCGCACATCTCCGCAATTAACATCATGGCGCCGTGTAAAATGCCTAGAAAAAGACAGGCAGGCAGCTATTAAAACTCAAGCACCAAAGCGAGGAATAATGCTTATGTTCCAATAATAGTCCCAAGTTTGCCCATGACTTCTATAGGGTCTATTTATTCATTTATTTACGACATTTCTAGGCGTGTTAAGTCAAAAAATCATGCACACACACCTCAAAAAGGGATTGACTTAACTACAGTGTAATAATAATAATTATTGGATTGCTCTGAGTTTTCCAGACTGCATGGCCATGTTCCAGAAGCATTATCTCCTGACGTTTCGCCCACATCTATGGCAGGCATCCTCAGAGGTTGTGAGATCTGTTGGAAACTAGACAAGTGGGATTTATATATCTGTGGAATAATGTCCAGGGTGGGAAAAAGTACTCTTGTCTGTTGGAGGCAAGTGTAAAAGTTGCCAATGGCCAGCTTGATTAGCATTAAATGGCCTTGCAGCTTCAAAGCCTGGCTGCTTTCTCCAAAATCGGAAATGGTCCACCTAAGTAATACCTTGGCTTTCTAATTATTCAGCATATTTGAATTTATGCCCAACATTTTTGAAAACGACCTTCTGACTCTGTGCCTGATGCAGCGTTTCTCAACCTGGGGGTTGGGACCCCTTGTAGGGTCACAAGGGGGTGTTGGAGGGGTCGCCAAAGACCATCAGCAAACACAGTATTTTATGTTGGTCATGGGGTTTCTATGTAGGAAGTTTGGCTCAATTCTATCATTGGTGGGGTTCAAAATGCGCTTTGATTGTAGGTGAACTATAAATCCCAGGAACTACAACTCCCAAAAGTCAAGGTCTTTTTTCCCCCAAACTCCATTTGGGCATATTGAGTATTTGTGCCAACTTTGGTCCAGATCCATCATTGTTTGAGTCTGGATGTAGGTGAACTACAACTCCCAAACTCAAGGTCAACACCCACCAAACCCTTCCAGTATTTTCTGTTGGTCATGGGAGTTCTGTGTGCCAAGTTTGGTTTGATTCCATCCTTGGTGGAGTTCAGAATGCTCTTTGATTGCAGGTTAACTATAAATCCCAGCAACTACAGCTCCCAAGTTGTCAATCCCCCCCCCCCCCCCCCCTACACACACACCAGTATTCAAATTTTGGCGCATTGGGTATTTGTGTCAAATTTGGTCCAGTGAATGAAAATATATCCTGCATATCAACAACAATTTTTATTGATTATCAAAACATCCTGCATATCAGATATTTACATTACGATTCATAGGTAAAGGTAAAGGTTTCCCCTGATATTGTCTAGTTGTGTCCTATCCTGGGGGTTGGTGCTCATCTCTATTTCTAAGCCAAAGAGCTGGCATTGTCCATAGACACCTCCACAGTCATGTGGTCAACATGACTGCATGGAGCACCATTATCTTCCCACCTGAGTGGTACCTATTGATCTACTCACATTTGCATGTTTTTGAACTGCTAGGTCGGCAGAAGCTGGGGCTGACAGCAGAAGCTCACGCCACTCCCCAGATTCGAATCTGCAATGTTTTGGTCAACAAGCTCAGCAGCTCAGTGGTTTAACCCATTGCGCCACCGCAGTAGCAAAACGCAGTAGCATAATGTTATGGTTGGGGTTCAGCACAACATGAGGAACTGTATTAAGGGGTCGTGGCATTGGGAAGGTTGAAAAACACTGGTAAGGTGCCTATGAAACATAAATTATTTTTGGATTTGGAATTGGGGCACATCGAAAAATCCAAAATATGGAACACTTCTGCTCAGAAACATTTTGAATATGGTATGCTCAATCTGTATCAGCATGTGTCAACGAAACAAAAGGAAGACATTTACCATAGGTTTGTTCTGTCAACAGGTGTTTGCCGAGAGGGATGAACATGTCTGTGAGATCCGGAACCTTTCGGACAATGTGTACAGCACAGACCACTGCCTAGTTGATAAAGTAAATAGAGGTTTGCAAGACAGAAGGTAGAATTAATGCAGTTTGGAACCACTATAACTGACATGGTTCACTGCTACATCCAAGTGTGGGCAAACTTGGGCCCTCCAGGTGATTTGGACTTCAACTCCCACAATTTCTAACAGCCTACCGGCTGTTAGAAATTGTGGGAGTTGAAGTCCAAATCACCTGGAGGGCCCAAGTTTGCCCATGCCTTCTATAGGGTCTATTTATATATTTATTTACGACATTTATATGCCTCCCTTCTCACCTTGAAGGGGACTCAGAGCGGCTTGCAAGATATATATATACAATATATTAAATTATTAGCATAGTACAATATCAGTATTATATACTACTATATTGTACTATACCATTATATTGTCATATTATTAGTGATATTACATGTAATATAAAATATATAATTATAATATTGTATTATTAGTAGTATTATATTGTATCACTCAGAGCGGCTTACAAGATATATATATATACATACAATATATTATATTATTAGCATAGTTCCCAGTGGCGCAGTGGGTTAAACCCCTGTGCCGGCAGGACTGAAGACCGACAGGTCGCAGGTTCGAATCCGGGGAGAGGCGGATGAGCTCCCTCTATCAGCTCTAGCTCCTCACACAGGGACATGAGAGAAGCCTCCCACAAGGATGATAAAAAAAAAGCAAATCATCCGGGCGTCCCCTGGGCAACTTCCTTGCAGACGGCCAATTCTCTCACACCAGAAGCGACTTGCAGTTTCTCAAGTCGCTTCTGACATGACAAAAAAAAAATAGCATAGTATAATATCAGTATTATATATTACTATATTGTACTATACCATTATAATGTTTTATATATATATATATATATATATATATATATAATTTTTATCGTGTCAGGAGCAAACCAAACAGTTGTATTGCATTTTTTAACAAACAAAGCACAAAGTTTGCAAACTACAGACCATCTGCTGCAAGTTTGCAAACTACAGACCATCTGCTGCAATGCAACCTGAGCCCTGCTATATATTGTAATATTATAATATAATATTATATAATATTATAATGTAATAATATAATATAATATAATATAATATAATATAATATAATATAATATAATATAATATAATATAATATAATATAATATAATGGTATAGGCCGGTCCATGAGGTCACGAAGAGTCAGAAACAAATGAACAAATGGACAACAAAAACAACATGTAATATATAATATAATATAATATAATATAATATAATATAATATAATGGTATAGGCTGGTCCATGAGGTCACAAAGAGTCGGAAACGACTGAACAAATGAACAACAACAACAACATGTGATATAAAATATATAATTAAATATTATAGGTCTATGCTTTAATTTCCTCCTTCCATCCTAGGGTGCATCTACTACACTGCAGAATGAATGTAGTTTTGACACCAACCTGGGAGTTGTAGTTTTACAAGCTCTTTAGCTTTCTCTGCCCATACCAAACTACAGCTCCCAGGACTCCGTAGCATAGAGCTGTGGCTGTTAAAGTGGTGTTAAAATGCATTATTTATTTATTTACTTACTTACAGTATTTATTTTCCGCCCTTCTCACCCTGAAGGGGACTCATAGAATCAAAGAATTGGAAGAGACCTCATGGGCCATCCGGTCCAACCCCCTGCCAAGAAGCAGGAATACTGCATTCAAAGCACCCCCGACAGATGGCCATCCAGCCTCTGTTTAAAAGCTTCCAAAGAAGGAGCCTCCACCACATTCCGGGGCAGAGAGTTCCACTGTTGAACAGCTCTAGCAGAAGAGTTGGAAGAGACCTCATGGGCCATCCAGTCCAACCCCCTGCCAAGAAGCAGGAAAATTGCATTCAAAGCAACCCCAACAGATGGCCATCCAGCCTCTGTTTAAAAGCTTCCAAAGAAGGAGCCTCCACCACACTCCAGGGCAGAGAGTTCCACTGCTGAACAGCTCTCACAGTCAGGAAGAGAGTTGGAAGAGACCTCATGGGCCATCCAGTCCAACCCCCTCCCAAGAAGCAGGAATATTGCATTCAAATCACCCCTGACAGATGGCCATCCAGCCTCTGTTTAAAAGCTTCCAAAGAAGGAGCCTACACCACACTCCAGGGCAGAGAGTTCCACTGCTGAACAGCTCTCACAGTCAGGAAGTTCTTCCTCGTGTTCAGATGGAATCTCCTTTCTTGTAATTCAGGGTGGACCACAATGTACATATACACGGCAAACATTCAGTGCCGTTTTTGACATACAAGACATACAGAGGCCATTCAGCGGTTCTTCCACTTTGGATCCTCCCGAAGTTGCTCGGATCCTCCAGAAGGATCCGAGTTCTACAGTGTCGATGCAACAGAGCCCTCTCTCACCTGGCAACCCTATTTTGGGTGCATTGGTAGCTTCTCACCTTCCTCCGCACAGAAGGTTGGCCCGTTTTGGCCAATTGCTCCACTTCCCCAGCCAAGTCCCGGAACATGGCTGCCGACCCCAAGGACCCAAGGGTGCTAAGGGCCAGGCCTTGAACCCAGGAACTCGAATGCAGGAGGTCACTAGAAAGAGAGGAGAAAACAGACATTAGGAATGCAATGGAAGGTGCATCTACAGGTGCATCTCAACCTTCCTAATGCCGTGACCCCTTAATACAGTTCCTCATGTTGTGGTGACCCCCAACCATAAAATTATTTTCATTGCTGCTTCATCACTGTAATTTTGCTACCGTTATGAATCGTAATGTAAATATCTGATATGCAGGATGTATTGTCGTTCACGGGACCACATTTGGCACAAATACCCGATACGCCTAAATTTGTATACTGGTGTGGTTCAGGGGGATTGATTTTGTCATTTGGAAGTTGTAGTTGCTGAGATTTATAGTTCACCTACAATCAAAGAGCATTCTAAACTCCACCAACGATGGAATTGAACCAAACTTGGCACACAGAACTCCCATGACCAACAGAAAATACCAGAAGGGTTTGGTGGGCATTGACCTTGAGTTTGGGTGTTGTAGTTCACCTACATCCAGAGAGCACTGTGGACTCAAAGAATGATGGATCTAGGCCAAACTTGGCATGAATACTCAATACATGCAAATTTGAACACTGATGGATTTTGGTGGGAGGATTCGCCATCTGTTTCCAAAAAGGAAGAGAAGGAAAGGCGGTGAGATCTTCAGCCTTCTCTGTCAAATGCGTTCCTAAGGTAGTTGCTGGGGTTTATAGTTCACCTGCAATCAAAGAGCATTCTGAACTCCATCAACGATGGAATTGACTTTTGAAGTTGTAGTTCACCTATGTCCAGAGAGCACTGTGGACTCAAACAATGATGGATCTGGGTTGTTGTAGGTTTTTTCGGGCTATATGGCCATGGTCTAGAGGCATTCTCTCCTGATGTTTCGCCTGCATCTATGGCAAGCATCCTCAGAGGTAGTGAGGACCTCAGAGGATTCTTGCCATAGATGCAGGCGAAACATCAGGAGAGAATGCCTCTAGACCATGGCCATATAGCCCGAAAAAACCTACAACAACCCAGTGATTCCGGCCATGAAAGCCTTCGACAATGTAATGATGGATCTGGCCTAAACTTGTAACAAATACACAATATGCCCAAATGTGAACACTGGTGGAGTTTGGGGAAAATAAACCTTGATATTTGGGAGTTGTAGTTGCTGGTATTTATAGTTCACCTACAATCAAAGAGCATTCTGAACCCCACCAATGGGAGAATTGGGCCAAACTTCCCACACAGAACCCCCATGACCAACAGAAAATGCTGGGAGGGTTTGGTGGGCATTGACCTTGAGCTTTGGAGTTGTAGTTCACCTATATCTAGAGAGCACTGTGGACTCAAACACTGATAGATCTGGGCCAAACTTGGCACGAATACTCAATATGCCCAAATGTGAACACTGCTGGAGTTTGAGGAAAATAGACCTTGGCATTTGGGAGTTGTGGTTGCTGGGATTTATAGCTCACCTACAATTAAAGAGCATTTTCAACCCTACCAATGAGAGAATTGGGCCAAACTTCCCACACAGAACCCCAAAGACCAACAGAAAATACTGTGTTTTCTGATGGTGTTTGCCGACTCTTCTTGCGACCCCCCCTTGACCCCCTGGTTGACCCCTCTGACACCCCCTCATGACCCCCCGGGGTCCCAACCCCGCAGGTTGAGAAATGCTGATCTGCACTGTAGAATGAATGCAGTTTAACCCCACTTTACATAAACCCCACTAATATATAAACACCCCCATGCAACAATGTATCTGCGCCCCCTCCATTCACAAATTCTGGACAGCTTGAATTCTGACCCCAAATAACCCCAAAGAAGAGAATTTGCATATCGGAATCTTCACTCCCTCACTTCTTGATGCTATTGGTCAGCAGAAGGTGAGTGTCTTGCATCTCGTCCAATAGGAGGGCAGCACCCAGGTAGCCGATCCTCTTCTCGTGGAATCTGCGCGAGGCAATGAGCTTGAGGCATTCCATCTGCATTCATTCCAACAGGGAATAAAATATATTCATTTCTTTAAACCCCAATAAAACATAAATTACAGCAGGATCACAACCTTTCATTGATCACGTAGACCATAGGCACATTCCCCTATTAATCAGGCTCTATTAAAAAGTTAATATTTTTATATATAGGTAGTTATTCAAGAAGAAAAAATGCAAGTCCTGTCTTAAGGATCAAGACTATAGAATTAACTCAATTTGATGCCAGTTGAGTTGCAATGCCTCAATGCTATAGAGAAGCATCCCGAGCTCTGGAGATCACCTGGGAAGGAATCCCACTGGAGCATTGCAGCGCACCCAAATACCTGGGAGTCACTTTGGGCCGTGCTCTTACCTACAAGAAGCACTGCCTGAACATCAAGCAAAGAGTGGGTGCCAGAAACAATATCATACGAAAGCTGACTGGCACAACCTGGGGATCACAACCAGATACAGTGAAGACATCTGCCCTTGCGCTGTGCTACTCTGCTGCTTGAGTATGCATGCCCAGTGTGGAACACATCTCACCACACTAAAACAGTGGATGTGGCTCTTAAGGAGACATGCCGCATTATCACGGGGTGCCTGCACCCTACACCACTGGAGAAATTACACTGCTTAGCCGGTATTGCACCACCTGACATCCGCCGGGAAGTAGCAGCCAATAGTGAAAGGGCCAAGGCAAAGACATCTCCAGCTCATCCCTTGTTTGGGTATCAGCCAGCACGTCAATGACTTAAATCTAGAAACAGTTTTCTAAGATCTACAGAGACACTCGCTGGAACACCTCAGCAAGCGAGAGTCCAAAAGTGGCAGGCTCAAACCCAGAACCTCAACCAATGGCTGATACCAAATGAGAGACTCCCCCCTGGGCACACAGAGAACTGGGCGACTTGGAAGGCGCTGAACAGACTGCGCTCTGGCACCACGAGATGCAGAGCCAACCTCAAGAAATGGGGCCACAAAGTGGAATCCACAACATGCGAGTGTGGAGAGGAGCAAACCACTGACCACCTGCTGCAATGCACCCTGAGCCCTGCCACATGCACAATGGAGGACCTTCTTGCAGCAACACCAGAAGCACTCCAAGTGGCCAGATACTGGTCAAAGGACATTTAATCAGCTACCAAATCACAAATTTTGTATTTTGTCTGTTTGTTTGTTTGCTTTGTTCTGTTAGAAATGTAATATAATTGACTGGTTGCCCTGACACGACAAATAAATAAATAAAATGTTATAGAACTCTGGGATTTGTAGTTTGGCGCATATGCATTATTTGGGATCATCTACACTGTAGAACAAATGTGGTTTGACATCCTTATAACAGTCATGGCTGAATGCAGTAGAATCCTGGGATTTGTAGTTTGGTGAGGCATCAGCACTCTTTGAAGACCTTATGAAACTACAGCTCCTATGAGTCCATGGCATTGTTACATGGCAGTTCAAGTGGTGTAAAACTGCATTCATTTTGCAGCAGCGTTTCTCAACCTTGGGTTCAGGACTCCTTGGGGGATCACGAGGGGTGTTTCAAAGGAGTTGCCAAAGTCCATCAGAAAACACATATTTCTGATGGTCTTAAGAACCCCTTTGGCAGAGAAGGCTGAAGATATCTCTGCCTGTCCTTCTCTTCCTTTTTGGAAACAGACAGCAAATCCTCCCACCAAAAGCCCTCCTCCTGCTGTGGTTGCAGGTGAACTATAAATCCCAGCAACTACAACTCCCAAATGTTAAGGTCTATTTTCTCCAAACTCCACCAGTGTTCAAATTTGCACATACTGAGTATTCTTGCCAAGTTTGTTCTAGATCCATCATTGTTTAAGTCCACAGTGCTCTCTGGATGTAGGTGAGCTACAACTCCAAAACTCAAGGTCCATGCCCACCAAACCCTTCTGGTATTTTCTGTTGGTCATGGGAGTTCTGTGTGCCAAGTTTGGTTCAATTCCATCATTGGTGGAGTTCAGAATTCTCTTTGTTTGTTGGTGAACTATAAATCCCAGCAACGACAACTCCCAAATGACATAATCAACCCACACACAACCCCATCGGTATTCAAATTTGGGTGTATTAGGTATTTGGGCCAAATGTGGTCCAGTGAATGAAAATATATCCTGCATATCAGATATTTACATTGTGATTCATAACAGTAGCAAAATTACAGTTGTGAAGAAGCAACGGAAAGAATGTTGTGGTAGGAGGTCATGAGAAACTGTATTAAGGTGTTGCGGCATTTGGAAGGTTGAGAAACACCAATCTAGACTGTAGAATTAATTCAATTTGATGCCACTTGAGGTGCCATGCCTCAATGCTTTAGAACTCTGATATTTGTAGTTTAGTGCATATGCATTATTTGGGGGCTTTTACACTTTAGAACAAATGTAGTTTGGCATCCCTTTGACAGCCACGGCTCAATACACTGGAAGCCTGGGATTTGTAGTTTGGTGAGGCATCAGCACTTGAAGACTACAGCTTCCATAATTCCATGGCATTGTTACATGGCATTTCAAATGGTATAAAACTGCATTCAAGTTATGTGTAAGTGCACACTTAGACCTGGGTTCGAATCCTAATTCAGCTCTGTCAAACTGCATGAATTTTACAGTATAATTGTATTCTAAGACCTGGGTGCAAGTTCTCATTCAGGTTAAGAGATTGCTCATCTCTTAACCTAAACCAGTGGTTCCCAACCTTCCCAATGCCGTGACTCCTTAATACAGTTCCTCATGTTGTGGTGACCCCCCAACCATATCATTATTTTTGTTGCTACTTCAGAACTGTAATTTTGCTATTCTTATGAATCATTATGTAAATATCTGATGTGCAGGATGTATTTTCATTCACTGGACCAAATTTGGTACAAATACCCAATATGCTCAAATTTGAGTACTGGTGGGATGGGGGCAGGATCGATTTTGTCATTTGGGAGTTGTAGTTGCTGGGGTTTATAGTTAACATAAAATCAAAGAGCATTCTGAAATCCACCAATGATGGAATTGAACCAAACTCAGGACACAGAACTCTCATAACCAACAGAAAATACAGGAAGGATTAGATGGACATCAACCTTGAGTTTTGGAGTTGTAGTTCACTTACATCCAGAGAGCATAATGGACTCAAACAATGATGGATCAGGACCAAACTTGGCACAAATATTCAATATGCCCAAATGTGAACACTGGTGGATTTGGGGGAAAATAGACATTTGGGAGTTATAGCTGCTGTTCACCTACAATCAAAGAGCATTCTTAACCCCACCAATGATAAAATTGGGCAAACTTCCCACAAAGAACCCCCAGGACCAACAGAAAATACTGTATTTTCTGATGGTGTTTGCCGACCCCTCTGACACCCCTCTTGCGACCCCCCAGTGGTCCTGACTCCCTGGTTGAGAAACGCTGACATAAACCTATCCAGCAGGATTGTTGGGAGGAAAACATCAGCATGAAGGAGATATGTACTTTAATTACCGTATATACTCGAGTATAAGCCAACCCGAATATAAGCCGAGAAACCTAATTTTACCACAAAAAACTGGGGAAATGTATTGACTCAAATATAAGCCGAAGGTGGGAAATATAGCAGCGAATGGTAAATTTCAAAATAAAAATAGATACCAATAATATTACAGTAATTGAGGCATCAGTAGGTTAAATGTAAGAGAAGACTGTCCAACTCTGATTCAACCATCATTCTGACCTTCTTCCATGTAAATGTGCTTATGTATCATTCCAATAATAATAAAGAGATTAAAGTAATAACTGTAATAATAATAATAATGAATGTAATAATAATAGAGTAAAACAATAAATGTAATAATAACAATAATAATAAAGTCACCCATGGGCTGAGAAAGGCGGTATACAAATATAGTAAATAAATAAATAAATAATAGAGTAAAATAAGAAATGTACTACAACTAATAATAAACAGAGAAAATAATAAATGTAATAATAATAGAGTAAAATAATAAATGTAATAACAACAATAATAAAGTCTCCCATGGGCTGAGAAAGGCGGTATACAAATATAGTAAATAAATAAATAAATAATAGAGTAAAATAATAAATGTATTGCTAATAATAATAAACAGAGAAAATAATAAATGTAATAATAATAGAGTAAAATAATATATGTAATAACAATAATAATAAATTTGCCCATGGGCTGAGAAAGACGGTATACAAATATAGTAAATAAATAAATAAAGAATAGAGTAAAATAATACATTTAATAAAATAATAATAGTGTAAAATAACATAAATGTAATAATAATAAATATAGAAAAATAATAAATGTAATCAAAATGAAATAGAGAAAAATAATAAACAACCTTGACTCGAGTATAAACCAAGGGGAGCTTTTTCAGCCTAAAAAAGGTGCTGAAAAACTAAGCTTATACTCAAATATATATAGTAGTTTCATTCCACTTGGAAACAGTAAATGTAGACATCCACATTCCCTGGGATTAGGGCCACAGGACTTTGTGAATAACCACATCCACAAAAATCAAACCCCCAAATGTGGAGGGATGGTTGTAATCCTCTGGTGATAACATCTACCTGTCCGAAATGGGCAGGATAGCCCAGCATGTGGATGTAGAGCAACTTGGCTAAATTGGTGGCCCGGCTGTCGGCTTCATCCCCTCGAAAGGCTCCCCGGATCTTGGCGCTTTCTCGCTGGACCAGGTCCCGCTCTTCCGCTTGGGTCCGCGCGCTCCGGATCGTCCGGATCAGGACCGCCAATGTGAGCGGTGCTTCTGGCATCCTAGGGAGGCAAAAGGACAACAAAACAGTGAGGATCAGGCCCTGCGGATGCTCCCCTTCCTATAGGACCGGGCTGTAGCGCAGCTAGTTAGTAGCCAGCTGCATTAAATCACTACTGACTGAGAGGGCATGAATTCAAAGCCAGCCTGGGTCGGAATGAGCTCCCAACCATTAATAGTCTAGCTTGCTGTTGACCTATACAGCCTGAAAGACAGTTGCACCTATCAAGTAGGAAATTTAGGTACCGCTTTATGCGGGGAGGCTAATTTAACTAATTTACGACACCATAAAACCTTCCAGCAGCATGTGTAAGAATGAGGAAGTACTCCATCAAGGACTTGGTGTCAAAAGTGGACAGTGAAGCTATGGCCAGAATCGAGCATACCCTCATGAAGCCGGAAAGCTGGAATGTTAAATTGTCTCTGTGTCTGTCTATATAGGAACAACTGAGCTGCTGATCTTGCTGAATGAACGGTCAAGGTTCGAATCCGGAGAGCGGCGTGAGCTTCCACTGTCAGCCCCAGCTTCTACCAACCTTGCAGTTCAAAAACATTCAAATGTGAGTATTTATTATTTATTTATTTACTTACAGTATTTATATTCCGCCCTTCTCACCCTGCAGGGGACTCAGGGCGGATCACAATGTACACATATACGGCAAACATTCAATGCCAAAGACACACAACAGAAATAAACGAACAGTCAGAGGCTATTTAACTTTTCTGACCGCCAGGGGAGCTGTCGCTTTCATCGTCCATCTGCGACGCTGATGAAGTACTTCTGCATTCCCCGCATGCTTTTGCTGGAGTGCTTTGCTGGAGTCTTTTCTTTATGGCTTTGTACATTTTGTTAAATTAGCCTACCGACACATAGGTGGTACCTAATTTTCCTACTTGACAGATGCAACTGTCTTTCGGGTTGCAAAGGTCGACAACAAGCTACACAATTGGTCAGAAGCTCACTCCGACCCGGGCTGGCTTCGAACTCATGACCTTGTGGTCAGAAGTGATCTTAATGCAGCTGACACTCAGACAGCTGTGCCACAGTACTGGTAGATCAATAGGTACTGCTCCGGCGGGAAGGTAACGGCGCTCCATGCAGTCATGCCGGACACATGACTTTGGAGGTGTCTACGGACAATGCTGGCTCTTCAGGTTAGAAATGGAGATGAGCACCAACCCCCAGAATTGGACATAACTAGACTTAATGTCAGGGGGAAACCTTTACCTTACCTGTCTATATATGTTGTATGTCTAATGGCATTGTATGTTTACCATGTGTATGTGCATTGTAATCCGCCCTGAGTCTTTCGTCAATATAAATACTGTAAATAAATAAATAGGTTACAAATGTTTGCATCTACACCAGGCATGGGCAAACTTGGGCCCTCGAGGTGTTTTGGACTTCAACTCCCACAATTCCTAACAGCCGGTAGGCTGTTAGGAATTGTGGGAGTTGAAGTCCAAAACACCTCGAGGGCCCAAGTTTGCCCATGCCTGATCTGCACTGATCTGATCTCCCCAACTTTCAAGAAAAGGTAAATCTTTGCATTTCTATGGTATCAGCCCATTCAGAAGGATATTTCTTTCCTACGGCCTGTAGTTTGTGTTCACTTCTTCTAATCCAAACCTCTGCCCAAGTATTTTGCCTTCCAAGTGCTCTTTCCTGCCCTCACCTGTCCAGGTGTCCACTCTGTACTCTTCCTTTTTTTGCTGCTGGCTTTTAAAATTGGAGTGGATAGAGCCGGCAGCCCCTTCTTCTTCTTTTTCTTCGCCTCCTCTTCTACTCTCAGTCAACTTCTTGCATTTCCGGCCATGCCACCCAGCCAGGTAAACTCACCTGAGTTCCTGCAGGTACTTGGGACCAGAGGGAGCCCCCTGCTGGACAAGGCTTGGAAACACACTCTCTTGTCCCATAGTAGAGACTCCTAGAGAGTTGGGAAGGGAGTAGAGACCCCAAGGCCATCAATTCCAACCCCATCCAGGCACAATTAAAACCCCCCAGACAGATGGCCATCCAGCCTCTGCTTAGAAGGAAACTACAGCTCCCAGAATGCCATGAAAGTTGAGTTTCAAACTGCATTGATTCATAGAATAAAAAGAGTTGGAAGAGACCTCGTGGACCATCCAGTCCAATCCCCTGCCAAGAAGTAAGAAAATTGCAATTCAAAGCACCCCCAACAGATGGCCATCCAGCCTCTGCTTAGAAGGAAACTACAGCTCCCAGCATGCCATGAAAGTTGAGTTTTAAACTGCATTGATTCATAGAATCATAAGAGTTGGAAGAGACCTCGTGGATCATTCAGTCCAATCCCCTGCTAAAAAGTATGAAAATTGCAATTCAAAGCACTCCCAACAGATGGCCATTCAGCCTCTGTTTCAAAGCCTCCAAAGAAGGAGCCTCCACCACACTCCGTGGCAGAGAGTTCCACTGCTGAACAGCTCTCACAGTTTGGAAGTTCTTCCTAATGTTCAATTCAACTTACTTACTTACTTACGCAATCCCTTGTAGCCCAAGGATGATGGTTCCCGAAGTCTGGTGTCTTGCCGGTGGGTTCGTAGGTGGCTATGGAGCCCTATTCTTGATCCGCATGTTCTCCCACAGTGAGAACATCGGTTTCCAGGTGGAAAGTGGTCCTGGTCAGGGTTGGCTTGACATACCTTCCTATTGGCAAGTTTCTCCCTTTCGCCCTCCATTCGGAAATAAATAAATAAATTCATGCCTCTTCGAATTCTGCAGCACTGCTGGTCACAGCTGACCTCCAGTTAGAGCACTCAAGGGCTCAACAGTGTATCAGGCATGGGAAAACTTTGGCCCTCCAGGTGTTTTATAATAATAATAATAATAATAATAATAATAATAATACTTTATTTATACCCTGCTACCATCTCCCCAAGGGACTTGGTATGGCTTACATGAGGTCGAGCCCACAATACATCAATACAAGCAATAACAGACACAATACAAGGCAATTAAAATAAATCTCATACACAAATAGCATAAACATTAAACAAGGTACAGTGTACATTTAAAATCTATGGCTGGGCCAAATGTAATTGAAGTTTAAAAAATAATGCTAGGTATGAACAAGATAAAGGAGATGGGGTGTTGATGGAGACACACAAGCAGTCCTAAATCGGTATAAAGTGCTTTTGGAGGACATAATGCGAAGGATTCATTATTCTGGAAAGGCACACTGGAACAACCACGTCTTCAAACTCCTCCTAAAGACTGCCAGAGATGGGGCATTCCTGATGTCCTTAGGGAGTGAGTTCCAAAGTCGAGGGGCCACCACCAAGAAGGTCCTCTCTCATCCCCACCAATCGTACTTGCGATGCTGGTGGGAGCATGAGTAGTGCCTCTCCAGATGATCGAAGAGATTGGACTTCAACTTCCACAATTCCTATATTTTTCCATGTTGCGCTTCATTTTGTTAGTTTTGAGCCTGGTTCTCTCACCTGTCAAGGTGATTTTGGATTCCGACGCTGTCATCTGGCGTATTTATTTGCTATTCCTCCCAATGCTTTTGTTTATAGAAGTAATGGTTTGGAATGGGCAAGAACATCTCACCAAGGACTGGCATGAGTGTACTTCCCTTTGCAGTGCAAATACAGTGTTCCCTCACTACTTCGCGGTTCGCTTTTTGCGGACTCGCTGTTTCAAAACATGAATTTAAATACAGTACTGTATACAAGTGGAAAAGGAACATTGGAGGAGGAAGGAGAGGGAGATGGATGGATGGATCTCTGCGTAAGCTCAGCCTCCTCGCCCTCTTTACCTTCCTCCTCTTCCTCCTTGGAGTCACCGCACATGTGCCATGGAACCCAGGCTGGGTGCAAACTCATGGCGGAAGAAAAGCAGCGCCCAGACAGAGAGACTGATTGAGAGAGAGCGGGGCGGACGGGGAGGGCAGATGGGGGACATATGTATATGTATGTATACTGTACATATACTGTAAGCATCCCTACTTCACGGATTTTCACTTATCGCGGGTGGTCCTGGAACTTACAGTGCTGCCCTGTGTTTATCTTTGCAGAAACAGGATTCTTTGGAAGAGATTCCTGGATGGACACACTTATGTCGAAGGAAAAGGTGAAGATTTTCCCCTGACATTAAGTCTAGTTGCGACTGACTCTGGGTGTTGGTGCTCAACTCCATTTCTAAGCCAAATAGCCGGCGTTGTCCATAGACACCTCCAAGGTCATGTGGCCAGCATGACTGCATGTAACACCGTTACCTTCCCACCGGAGCTGTACCTATTGGACTACTAACAAAGGAATTGGACAATGCTTGAGAATAATGAGATGCTGATGATGTTGCTTTTATTGTTTTTGTGATGTTCTTAAACTGTTTAATGTTTTTTTATCTATTATGTTTTATATATACTGATTGGTTGGAAACCGCTTTGAGTCACCAATTGGCTGAGAAAGGCGGTATACAAATACAGCAAATAAATAGATAAATAAATAATACTCACATTTGCAGGTTTTCGAACTACTAGGTTGGCAGAAGCTGGGGCTAACAACAGGAGCTCATCCTGCTCCCAGGATTTGAACTGCCAACCTTTCGGTCAGCAAGTTCAGCAGCTCAGAGGTTTAACTCACTACACTATCAGGCAATGCTGAACTTAATAATAATAATAATAATAATAATAATAATAATAATATACTTTATTTATATTCTGCCCTATCTCCCCAAGGAGACTCAGGGTGGATCAAAGAACACATACACAGCAAACATTCAATCCTATTGAAACAGACAGGACAGACAGACAGAGGTATGTTGTGTCAGGTCATGTGGCTGGCACGACTGCATGGAGCGCCGTTACCTTCCCGCAGAAACAGTACCTATTGATCTACTCACATTTGCATGTTTTCAAACTGCTAGGTTGGCAGAAGCTGGGCCTAACAGCGGGAGCTCACTCTGCTCCCAGGATTCAAACCGTCAACTTTTCATTCAGCAAGTTCAGCAGCGCAGTGGTTTAACACACTGAGCCACCGGGGGCTCCATATGTCCAAGTAAATGCATATTATGGGCTGCAGTCTTAGAGAATGTTGGAAATGTAAGGGTATCGCTAAAGGGCAAAATGGGGGTATTGCTCCCAATAGGAATTCATGCTCCCCAGTAAGTTTTCCTGAAAGCACCGGATCCCATTTGATCTTTGAAGCTAAGTAGGTTCTGCCCTGGTTAATATTTGGATGGGCAGCCAACAATGTATCTCGAGTGCTGTAGGCTCTATTTCAAAGTGGCAAAGCCACCTTTGGGTATTTGCCCCAAAGAAATGGGAAACTGATATTTTCACTTGATGTTTGATGTTTTGCCTTATGTCTGTTATAACAGGCTGTGCTTTTTATTTAATTTTAGTTTGTTAAGTTATAATTCGTATTTATCTGTTGAGTTGTATAATTTTTTGTTAGTATGGATGTATTGTTGTTGTGGGTTGTTGTAGGTTTTTTCGGGCTATATGGCCATGGTCTAGAGGCATTCTCTCCTGACGTTTCGCCTGCATCTATGGCAAGCATCCTCAGAGGTAGTGACCTCACTACCTGTGAGGATGCTTGCCATAGATGCAGGCGAAACGTCAGGAGAGAATGCCTCTAGACCATGGCCATATAGCCCGAAAAAACCTACAACAACCCAGTGATTCCGGCCATGAAAGCCTTCGACAATATATTGTTGTTGTATTCGGGCATTGAATGTTTGCCTTTTATGTTTGGAATCTGCCCTGAGTCCCTTTGGGGAGATAGAGCAGAATATAAAGTTTTATTATTATTATTATTATTATTATTATTATTATTATTATTATTATTATTTGCCTTAAAAAAACTCTTATTAAATGAATGAATGTGCATCTCCACTGCAGAATAAACACAGTTCGATACCACTTTCCCTGCCATGGCTCAATGCTTATGGAATCCTTGGATTTGCTAAAGTATCTGCACTCTCTGGCAGAGAAGACTAAAGACCTTGCAAAACTACAACTCCCAGGATTTCACAGTACTGAGCCATGGCAGGGGAAGTGGTGTCAACCTGCATTCATTCTACAGTGTAGATGCACTCTTTTTTAGTCTCATCAAGACTCATTGAGTATGAGCACAATGGATATTCCAATAGTATAACTGAGGAGGGCAGCATTTGCAGACTGAATGCAAAACATCCAAGTACAGAAAAAGGCTTAATACAATAGCCACAAGAGGGCGCTAAAGCTTTAGGAACAGAGCCATAGAGGAAGCCGCTAGAGTGTCACAATAGGAACAACAGTCTCTTACCATCCCTTTCCGCTGGCCCATAGATATAAAATATATAGACTGCTTCAGAGCACCGAATTGAGAGAACATTTTAATATTTTCTTTTCCCATTGGACCAAATGGGGAAGACTTTAAAAAATGATTTGACAATAATTAGGAAAATTAATAGGATATAATGTTACAAACTAATGAGCTGCTCTACCTGAAAGATGTCTGATCTTGGAAGCTAAGCAGGGTCAGCCCTGGCTAGTACTTGGATGGGAGACCGGCAAAGAATACCAAGTCCTGGAGACTGGATTTTAGAGGCAGAAACCACCTCTGCGCTTCCCTTGACTAACAAAACTTTTATGGAATTAAAAGAAAACAGTGTTCCCTCACTTATTGCAGGGGTTATGTTCCTCCCGCAATAAGTGAAAAACCGTGATCTAGGGACACTATATATATTTTAATATTTATACTTTATTTTAGTAGTTATACACTATTTTAAGTCTTTATAAACTTAAAATAAAGTGAAGGAATGGAATGGAAAGAAAGGCCTTTCAAGGCTGGAGGGAGGGAGGACTGAGGAGGGAAAGCGCCTCGGAGAG